ATAGTATATACAGTATGATTATGATTTTGTTTTTTAAAAATACACATGCAGGTATACAGTAAAAAAGATTGTCTGAATATATGCCAAAATGTTAATAAAAGTTTTTTGGTGATGGGAAAATGGGATTACAAGTGACTTTAACTCCCTTTTCTGTGCTTCTCTATATTTTCCAATTTTTTAAATGATGTTATATAATCAGAAAAGAAAGCATAATAGAAGGTACTTTAAAGAAATAGGACAAATGCCTTCAAAAGACATTCAATACAGAGTTATTTAATAATATAAAAATATTGACAGCCTAAATATCCATTAAGAGGAGACAAGTTATATAAAATAAATCACATCAACACATTGTAATAATACACTTAGTCCATTAACATCATATTTTCCAAGAATAACTGTGATATAATATTTCCCTTAAGCCATAACAAAATTCCGATCCAGCTAAATGACAAAAGGAAGATGAAAATAGAAGAGATGGCACAAAATATATCAGGCAAAATGCAAAAAAAAAAAACCACACAAAATAAAACCCAAGATAAAAAGCATTAAAAGAAATAAACTGGGTTATTTAACTTTAATAAAAGGCACAATTTCCCAGAGAGACTGTAACAATGAAGAAGAGGCACCTCTTTATACCTAACAACATAACTTCGAAATATATGAGGACAAGACCAATAGAGATCGGAGAAACTGATCATCCACTGTTGGACCGGAAGTTTAAATCCAAAAGTGAACAGATTACACAAAGATAAGCCTGGACAGACTGTGAGTAACCCCAAATCAGGCTCAGAGTGTATAAGTTAGGTAGACATACCTAGAATAACACTGGAAAGAAACGATTAAAATATTAACAGGGGTTGTTTTGGAGTGGAATCTTTTTTCTCTCTCCTTTTTTGTATTTTTCCATAATGAACATATACTATTATAATGGAAAAGAAAGTTCATGTTCAAAGAAAACACAGGGCTCAATCACAGTGTAACGTACACAGCATTCCATAGCATGCAGTTGGACTCAGCTCAAATGAGTCCACGAGCCCTGCACAGCTGTGGTGGGGGAGGAGACTTGCCGAAGGCGAGGTCTCCTTTCTCACTTCACATGAGGAGCAGCGCACGCAGGCCCCTTTCAGAGCTAGGCCAGATTTTCCTCTCGGGCAGGCCAGTGAGGGGATTTATAGGCCCAGAGGGATCCAGACATCTGTGCCCCAGTCTACCAGCAGCGCTAACCTCCCCGTTCAGAAGCAGATGGAGACCATGCAGTAGGCTGTCCCTCTCCGACTTCCACAAATGCCGCCTTTGTGCTGAGGCCTAAGCCTCCAGTCCATATGGGGCACAGAGGAGGCAAAGAGAACAAATCCTGCAGTGTCTTGCTAAACTGTTGCTGCAAAGACCACTCATATTTGTGGCTGGGGTTTTAACCTTTTTGGAAGAGGCTGTCAGGCCAGAGCTTTCCTGATATCCTCCTGGACTAACCTGTGGTCTCCCGAGGAGCCAGAGGAAAGACTGCTAAGTGTTCCATTATTGATTAAAGCATCCTGTTTGGGTGTTTGGGCCTAAGTCATCTCTTCCTCTATAATAAAAGGAACTCAACCTGAGAGATATAACTGGACATTCAAAGGGATATGTATGTCTCTATGGTGCCAGAAACTGGGGAAAAGGGATACTGCAACAGAGAACCAAGCTGCTCAATTACAGTCCTGAGTGGTTTTTGGTAGTAGAAAAGGCATAAATAATACACACATATGGGTAAGGAATGAATGACTGCTGAGAGCTTTGGGGCAGCCCCTACACTCCTTGTTCTCTGTTCCTCCCCTTTTAGAATGGGCACCAAGACAAAATGGGAAAGGAAGTTAAGTTGGCCCACTGAGTACCCCTTTGGGGCCTCCTCCTCCCCCTCATCCTCCTTGCTCCCCAGGCTACATTAGCACCCCATTCCATTCTAGCTAGTGAGGGAAACAATAAAGTCATGAGGAAATTACTGGGATGCTAGGACTTGCACTCTGCACTAAGGTGACTGACGGAGATATTTGGGGGTAATAAGATAAGATGGTATTTTCCATGCTTTGTAAATCATCCTGCAAACATGGCTGTCTAACTCTGCATACAGCCTCAGGGGCATATTAACGTTCACTGCCCACCAAAGACACACTCAGAACATAAGCACATTGCTCAAGTTCTCTTCATGTCTATGTGCATAATCATCATGAATAACTGTTCTGCTTCTGCCAGGTCGTTTCTGTCCAATAAATGGAGCCTGGAGTTAGCTATTTGTCATGATATTTGAAAAAAGTAAATAAAAAAATTATTTTGCCAAAAAAAATCTTTAGGGTTTTAGAAACCAATTTCCACATGTCAGATCCCTCCCTCGAGTCTGGCTCTCTCATCCTTGCTTGGCCTGTCTGTTGGATTTCAGACATGACTTGATTTCTTTCTGTCTGAGTTCTCTAGGTCAACGCAACTTTTCAAGGTGATCAAATATTTCCTGCAGTGTTCCCTGTGTAGGATCTGTGTAGGGCAGAAACAGGAGACAAGAAATAAAGGTTGCCTGGGAAGCGACAGGGAAGATGTCAAAGCTATGACAATGAAGGATCTTACAGCAATATGCAGTCAGGGCTGGGCTGTGGTGGGAGGCATAGACAGTGCTCTCCCTAGATGCAGGAGCACAAACATGGAATTTACCGGCCAGGTGTGGTCAGGAGAGGTGGGGACATTTGTAGATGACAGTTGGCTGTCTACTCAAGTCCAGCTCATTACTGCCATGTGGCAACACACACCCAGCACTGCCAAACCTTCCAATTCATGAAGAGAAGCCAGAACTCTAGATTCTTATATGGAGTGTTTTGATTTCTAAACATCAGCTCAAAACACTATGCAGCCCAACAAAACACAACTTGTGGGCCAGATGTGGCCACGAATCTACCAGAAGGCAACTCTATCTAGGATGTAAGCAACATGAGGGAAGGAAATAGAGCCTGGTGCATGAAGAGGGCCCATTCAATGCTTGTGGAACGAGTAAGGGTCTTCCCGGGGCAGAGGGTAGACTCTCCTAGGAGAGACAATAGGAAGAGGTGACTGGCAACATGGAAATCTCGTAATCAAGGGAGGAAATAACTACAGAGTGAACTTGAGCCACACTGGGATGGAAAGGAAAGGGTAAAATGGCAGTAGACAGGCTAAGAATTTTCAAAAAGCAGAACTCAGCGAAAGACCAGATGTGCAGGACCAGGGTGGTGATGAATCTTCCAGGGGAAGCCTGCGATGAACTTGGCTAGAGGGCTGAGGGACTGGTCACAGGGGAGAGAAGGTAAACACATTTTTCTTCACTAGCTTCAAAGCCCTTCATCTGGCTCCCCCAGACAACCTTATTTTTTTTCTCATCCATTCTCCCACAAAGGGGATCAGGGGATAACCAGGGGCTCAGAGGCCCAAGCACTGAGAGAAACAGAGCCAAACCTATTGCTAATTAGGCGATGAGGTATTCATTCAGGAGAGATTGTCAGTAGAGTTAACAGAGGAATGGGCAGGGCAGAGGATAAGCATTGGAGAGGGACGGCATCCACAGGAGAGTGGTAAGAACAGCTTGGGCTATGCAGAGCCACGGCATATTGGCTGAACAGTGTGGAAGCAACGACAGGAGGGGATGAGGGAGACCTCAAATAGTTCTCAAATCATAGATTTTCACAGCATGGGACATGCCTTGGGTTCTGGTCTACAATTTTCTTAATGACTCAGAAAGCCAAGATAAAAATACTGCTAAGCACAAGTATTCAGGACAAGTAAGAAGTGGCAGACTCAACACTACTTCTTAGCTAAACAAGGTGAGCCTTTTCATGGCATGACTTTTGTGGGCTTCAGTCTATAGGAGGATTTTTATGATTATCAAATTTGGTCCAAGGCCTTGGACAAATCTCAATTTTCACCTTAAAAGATAAACATTATCAGGAGTTTAAGAACAAATACAACCACTTGTTACCCAAAGAATTATTATAGTACCTAATATTTATTACTTAGCTAACTAGTAAATCAGTGATTGCTAACAAAGGGCTTAGTATAGTTTGCTAGCAATACAGTCCTTTAAACGCACTATCTTATAAATACTAAGTAGTTTAAATGCACTATCTTATAAATCTTTACAATGACTCTATAAAGGAGCTGGTGGCATCATGCCCAATTTACCCATTAGGAATGAAAGTGAGACCTAGAGATATTAAGTCACCTGCCCAAGGTGACAAAGTCTTTGAATGACAGAGCCGAGGTCAGACCTGAGATACTTCATTCTAGGGCCCTTGTTCTAAGCCAGGGGTCAGCAAACATTTTCTGTAAAGGGCCAGAGAGTAAATATTTTTGGACTTGTGGGCGATATGGTCTCTGTCACAACTACTCGACTCTGCCATTGTACTGCAAAAGCAGCCATAGGCAATACATAAACATTTAGCATGCCTGCGTTCCAACAAAACTTTATTTATGGACACTGAAATTTGAATTTCATATAATTTTCATGTGTCATGAAATATCATTACTCTTGACTTTTTTCCTAGCCATTTTAAAAAGTAAGAACCATTCTTAGCTCACAGGCCATAGGAAAACCAGGAGTGGGATGAATTGTTTTCCACATGCTGTAGTTTGCAGACCCTGGTTTAAGCCACTAGTCTCTCCCACCCTCTGACTCACAACATGTGCTGGTTTTCTTAGGAGGCCCTAGATATTTTAGGACAAAACCTGTGAGAGTGCGTCTGGATGGGGCACAGGACTGAAATACAATTGTGAGAAAAGACCCAACAGAGACGGCTCTTCAAGTTACCCCTCGAAGGATTCCACCTGACCCCAGTTCACAACCTGCAAACACCGCTGTCTTCCCTTCAGTCCCCTCACTTGCTCTCTATTGAAATAAGCATTGATTCAGGTAAGTCTGAAACTAGGGTAGGTTCTGGGTAGGGAGGGATGTCCCCTCCTGCACAACATGGTTTTCTGCAAACGTGAGCCCACCATGTTCTTCTTACCTGCAGGGTTTGGCCGAAGCGCTTTAACGGTGTGGCCTTCACAGGCGGGATGAGGTTTGCTAATGAGGTGACTCTGGAAAGAGGTTTGACTCGTTTATTACTAGGCTCCTGTATGGTCAAAATAAAAAAAAAGAAGAACGGAAAATGTCAAGGTCAATTACGAAGACAACATAACTCCACCATACAGTCGTGTCCCACTCCATGAGGCGCTGGCTACACACCAATCTGTGGAATGCAAACAGTGCCCCGTCTCACTCCAGCTGTGCAGAGATGACCTGGCTTAGGAGCCAGGGAAGGAGCAATGGCACAGGGATGTCATTAGAAGCAGCCTCCGAGGGACAGCAAACGGGCAGGGATCTGCTCCTTTATCCCTCACCCTCAATATCTGCCAGCTTTTAATTCGGAAGCTTCCACTTGGTAGAATCATTCTCCCCCACCCCTCCTGCAGAGAAAAGCTGCCTCAGATTTCCCATCCAATGACCTTGTCAGGCAGTTGTCTTTTGATGCTTCTGGTTTCATCTTTTCAAAAACCTTTACCTCACCTTGCCTGAAGCTGCTCTCCAAATTTCTTTTATGCAATGGCTTTTCTAAAGCACAAAGAATATTTGTTTTTTTAGTTCACTAGATTAAAAATCTTTTTTTAAAAAAAAAACAAGTTCTTCTATTACCAAGCTCTTAAGAAAGCATCTTTGTATCTACAGTATATTTGAAATGCACATATTAATATGTATAAATAACAACCAGACAGCAAAAGGAAATATACAGAGAGAAAACCCTACCATGGACATGGATTTTTATACTATATATAGGCACAAATTTTGAAAATCACCTCCACATAAAACATTTGCAAATCTGCAAGGAGAGGGAGCCTACCCATTCCAATGACTTTGCAGACAAGAATTACATAAATAAAAACAACAGGCTGTGGGAAAGAGAGAGATGACAGACAAAGGTTTTACAAAGACAAAGAGAACAGTTACCCTTGTCTTCCTAAGCTCCATCTGACCTGCAGTAGATGCTGGACAGCACATGGAGACACCAAATTTTGATGGAAAAAGCCAAACTTGCCAATTATCGTGGCAAACCTCAATCATTTCCAGAGGGAACCTCAGGATGCTCATCTTTCTTTCTCAGCCATTGCTTTCAAAGTTTTGAGGGTTAAACCAGAACTTCAGATTCTCCAGGACATCCTTGCAGGTTGTTTTGAACATAGTAGATGCTTGGAAAAATCTTGCCTGAATTTGGAATTCTGCCGAGAAACTCTCATGTCATTTTATGCCCTTGCCAGCCTCAGAAATCAGAAGGCTTCTCTGAAATAGACCCAACCTCTCTGGCATTTAAATAGAAAAATTAAAAGACTGAAAAAATAAGGTGCAAAACAATTCCACAATGTGGCCAGGAGTGACTTCACGATGTCTTGAAGCAGTGAAATACTTTTCCAAGACGGAGAACGAATCGGGGCTGCCGAGTACCTCCTCAGCTTCTTGGCATGCTGAGCTGAACAGACAGCAGGAAACTCTCTGAACACTGGGAAGGCTCAGTTCCAAATGCAAAGGATGAATCTCTCAACACAAGAGACATCACATTACAATTATTTAATTGCTGAAGAGAAAGATCCAATAGCCCTTCTGCCTCCAGGTGACAGTGCCCTTCAGGATGCTCCCTGTCCAGTGCCTGGCTCCTAAGCATCTGTGCCCCGAGGAGATTTTTAAAATATTTTTTTACGTCAGAGCTGCACCACCGGCATACTGAATCTACACACACACACACACAGCCTCTTGAGCATCCCCCGAATTTCTCTAAATGGCTCCTGCTTTGGGTTAGAAATGCCAGTTGTGATATCATCATCTTTGGTGGCACAAACTGCAGCAAGTGAGGAGAGGGGGGATTTCCTGGGGGAGCAGGACTTGGTCTCAGATAATCCTGGATCCACCTCACAGCCTGGAGACTCCTGAGTCTCTGCTTTTTTAGTGTCTAAAGCTGCTGGGTCATAGATTCTGTTTCAGAATGGGGAGGCTGAAGGGCAAATGCCAATTGAGTTCTCTTGCTTTAAAAAGGGGAAGGGAGCATAGCATACTTGGCAGGATGGAGGAAGATTCAGCTGTTCCATTTGCTGTGTCATCTTTTCTAAGGTTTGGCTGACTTTGCTGCCCATTTTACATGACCCAGTCAGATGAGTGTTTTCTGCACAGCTACAAGATATATGCAGAACATAAACGCTGGCCCCTCTGCCTTTGTGTGCAATGCTGCTACATGAGATTATAATTAAAACTCCTTTCCTAAGGCATTGCCCATTTGGAAGTAAACATTAGGCTGCTCTCTGGCAATCTGACATTCCCAAGTAACGAACAATTGAACCAGAAATCGTTGCTGCGTGATTTAGTGCTGTGATCCAGCAAAGCGGGCAGGTGCAATTTCAAAACCAGAACATTTACATGTTATTGGATCTATGGAGGTGGCTTTATGCCTGACCCACATAAGCAAGGTAGGAATTATGGTGCTCTCCTTGAGGGCTTCAGTGAGAATAGGAGATTAAAAAAATTCTTGGCCTAATTTGATTTTTCTTTTCCATTTACTCAGTATGTCTCCAGCTACATTTTACTGCTGTCTAAAAAGAGCCCTCAGGGAAAATGTTTCCAGATTCTAGTTAAATAGCTCTATTGAGAACTAGCAAATGCAATACCAGAAATGCTTTCGGGCTTTACGGAGAGATGACAGACTACAACCTGCAGAGGCTTCCTAGTCCAACAACTCAGCTGCCAGACCAAGCTGGGCCAGGTCAACGCTAAACCCAGAACAGGTGTCCTGTTTCAAGTGTGGACATCACCCCCACCATGCAATTTTAAGACAGGGCTGGAGAGCATCTCACCAAAGAGGTTAAAAAAAAGAAAAAGAAAAAGAAAAAGGCATTGAGTATTCAGTGTAGGCAGTATTTTCTGAATAACAACAGTTCTGTTGCATCTTTTCCAGGCCTTATAGCTTTTTTGTTTTTCTTGTCTTATTGCACTGGCTAGGACCACCTGTATATTGTTGATTCCAAGCTGAGATAGTGGGTTCACTAGTCTAATTCCTGATTCTAAAGTGATTATTATGAAGATTTCATCCCTAAGTATTGCATCTGCTGAGGGCATGGAAGGGACACCCCTTATCAAATAGAGAAAGTTCCCTTCTATGCTAAGTTTGCTGTGAATTTTTATAATGAATGACTTTTATCAAATGTTTTTTCTTCATCTTTTCAGAGGACAAGAAGGGGAAAAATGAGGGAAGGAAATGAAGGAAAAAAGGAGAGAGAGGTGGCAGGAAGGGAAGAAGAGAATGAAGAAGGACATGGAGGTCATATTTTTCATGAAGGAATTGATTCAGCAGTTTAAAATATCTCTTGTACTTGAATTACAAATAAAGGGAAATAAAGCACTCCATGCAATTTTATTTTATTTATTTTTTTGTGAGGAAGATCAGCCCTGAGCTAACATCCATGCCAATCCTCCTCTTTTTGCCGAGGAAGACCAGCCCTGAGCTAACATCTGCTGATCTTCCTCCACTTTATGTGGGACGCCGCCATAGCATGGCCTGACAAGCGGCATGTCGGTGCGCGCCTGGGCTCCGAACCCGGGCCAGCAGTAGCGGAACGCGCGCACTTAACTGCTACGCCATGGGGCCAGCCCCTGCAATTTTATTTTTAATGTGAGATTTAATTAAATAAATTTTAATATTCCTTCCCTAGGGGATGCAATGATTTTTATCTTCTTCTCATTCTTCCGCCCAAGAGATAAAAACCAAAACAGATGATGTGCCATGTAAGAAAATGCCTATCATATCAATATGATCTAGCACAATTTTTTATTCCTTCAAAAATAGTTCCATTCTAATAGACACAGCATTCAGGAAACCCTCACTCATTTTCCCTGTACTTCACTTTTGCAGCGAGAGTGGGGTTGGGGAGCAGTAGGAGGGTCTTCCACATCATGTCTGTAGCTGCCCTTAGACTCTACCCTCACTAAGCTACAAACACAGTCCAAGATGGGCCAGAAATGCAGCCACTGGCACAGGACTCACTGCTCTACTGCAGGCCACCTCTGTTCTACACCTGGGCAGGAGCCAGGGAGAGGTGATAATCGCTCATATTTATTGCAGGGACTCTTCTCAATGCTTTATAGATATTTACTAATTTATTACTCCTAACATCCCTGCAAGGTAGCTACTATTGTAACCCTCATTTTAAAGATGGGGAAACTGAGGCATGGAGTGGGCAACTTGCTTAAAGTCACTCACCTAAAAAAGGTGGCCAGGACTTAAACCTAGGCAGGCTGGCTCCAGAGCCCATGCTCTACACCACGGTTTGGCTAACTGTTTCTGCAAGAGGCCAGATGGTAACTGTTTTCTGCTTTGCGGGTCATCCAGTCTCTGTCACAACTACTCATCCCTGCCATCAGCCATAAATAGTATGTAAATAAATGAGTGTGCTTATGTTTCATTAAACCTCTATTTATAGAAAATAAAATTTGAATTTCATATAATTTTCACATCACAAATTATTATTCTTTTTTTACTTTTTTCAACCATTAAAAAATATAGAAATCAGGGCCGGCCCCGTGGCTTAGCAGTTAAGTATGCGCGCTCCGCTACTGGCGGCCCAGGTTCGGATCCCGGGCGCGCACTGACGTACCGCTTCTCCTGCCATGCTGAGGCCATGTCCCACATACAGCAACTAGAAGGATGTGCCACTATGACATACAACTATCTACTGGGGCTTTGGGGGAAAAAAAGGAGGAGGATTGGCAATAGATGTTAGCTCAGAGCCGGTCTTCCTCAGCAAAAAAGAGGAGGATTAGCATGGATGTTGGCTCAGGGCTGATCTTCCTCACAAAAAAAAAAAAAAAAATGGAAATCAGGGCTGGCCCAGTGGCGCAAGCAGTTAAGTGCGCACGCTCTGCTGTGGCGGCCTGGGGTTCGCCGGTTTGGATCCCGGGCACACACCGACGCACTGCTTGTCAAGCCATGCTGTGGCGGCGTCCCATATAAAGTGGAGGAAGATGGGCATGGATGTTAGCCCAGGGTCAGTCTTCCTCAGCAAAAAAGAGGAGGATTGGCAGATGTTAGCTCCGGGC